ATAATTAATAAGGATAAAAAGAATTAGTTTTAAGTGATAAATAATTAATAAATAAATTTTTAATGATTATAGAAAAAAATTTGGAAAAATTAAGTGTTATAGATCCAGTCCATTTAGTCCCAACAACCTAGTAAAGAAAAATGAAATAAAAAGATAAAAATTATAGGGGGAAATTGGATTATGATAGTAATTACCAAAAGGCTACTAAAACTCTTCAAACATGAAAACTGAAAAACCATAATAATACTAAGTTATGACTAATTTCTTAGTAATTTATGACCACTTGCCTAACTAAATAAAGGTAACAAATTTTAGGAAAACTTAACAATTATAATTATAGAGTTAATAGTTGCACAGATCCCTTAACTTAGCTTGTCCAAAATATTTTAAATCCAACTTTTTATCATGTCTCTCTACTCTATTTCATCTTACAATCATCTCTCTATATTTGATTTTGGTATTAACCTTGTCCTTCCATTAACTTTTTGGATCAATATTTTTTTTTCTCAATCTTATTCTTTTGCATTGTTTTTTTTTTTTAATTTTTTTTAATTTTTAGTTTTAATGTTTTTTCTATAACAAATTTTGATTAAATAAATATTTAAAAAAATCTAGAAAAAAAAGTAAAGATAACAATATTTTTTACGATCTTAAATTTGACTCTATGATAGTATGTTAATTTTGAGTATAAAATAAAATATTTATAATATTATTTTTAAAAAAATATGAAGAAAGTTTTAGTTAAAATTTTAAAATTTAAATGATATTTATAAATTTGTAATATCTTAAATGAGTCTATTATAATTTAATTATTTTGATTTTAATTTATTTTTAATTTGATTGAAAGTGATAATATAAATTTTTATTAGTGTTGGATCCAACACTATCAAATCCCTTAATTTGACTAAAATTTATAACAACACACACGCTTACACATGCGCACACGGGTGCGCGCACACACACACACATATACATGTATATGTGTGTGTGTGTATTTCAAATTACCAAACTAGATTTTAAAAAAACGACTTCAAACCTTAACATTAAAATTACAATTTACTACAAGAAAAAAAAAATAAAAATCAAAATAAATATTGGAAAAAAATTAACTCTCTTTATGGGCGTGGCGTGGAACATAAGAATTTACTTCTTTAGAAACAAATTAAATTGTGAAAGCTTTTAAGAAATAATAATAATAAAAAAAATTCCTAAACTATGCAATTTCGAAATTGGTGTGATATTTATTTTATTTTATTCTTATTTTTTTGAAAATTTGTAACAAATTAAAATTTTAAATTTTTTAATTTACAATTTCCAAAATTTTTAAGAGATAATTTTTTTATATATATTTCTCAAAATTTTAAATAATTTTAAGACAAAAAAAGAAAAAGAAAAACAAATATCCTTCTTTCTTTTCACGTCGAAAATTATTGAATGTAATTCTAGTCAACCAACCATTAATTGATAAACAAGTGGTGCACACTTTTCAATTCTAATAGAAATGACCAAAGGATGTCTATTCCAATATAATGATTCCAAAATGATGTGATAAAACTTGACTATAATGTGTTACAAACCATGTACCTGGGCACAAACAAATCTTAGTCGAAGCCTGTTCTTCTCGTCGTTCATTTCTACACGTAATTGTCAATCCAAATATAAAGTTTATGCTGAATCACCCATTTCCACTACTCAAATTCCTTTCATGATGTGTTTTGCACTTCTTAACTGTACATGGATCTCTCTAGCTCCCGGATTAACATTGCCATCATAATCTTTCTGGATTAGCTTTCCCGTCATAATCCGCTTTTCATGATCGTTAATTTTTTTTTCTTTATAGAATTATATATTCCACTAGTTTATTTGTAATTCGCTTTTTCTTTTTTAACTTTTTCTCTTTTGTCATATCTTACAAACTCTGGAATAACCTATCGTCATCCTATACCATATGCCAGCAAATTTAAACGTGTCTCTGACACTCCCCATCTCAATTTAAATATTTAAAATGTTATATTAGATTTTTTAAAATTGTTTTATATTAGTTCTAACACCTATTGTTCTTCCTAGCACATAAAACGAAATATAATTAGTTAAATAATAAAAATTTAAAAATTCAATAAATAAATTTATCATAAATTAAGATTAAATAAAAAAATTGAAAGTTTTTACTTTGATCATTAAAAAAAATAAAGTTTAAAATCACATTATGATGTTTTACGGTATAAAACCCAATGTATGATGAGCTTTGGCGCAAGTTTTGGCTCTTTATAAATAGAGTAAAAAAAGCTGTGTTTTATGTCTATGTATTATGCTTTGCATGTCGGGTCTTGTTGTTGTTGTGCAGAGTTAGTGTGGATGCAAAAGTTACAAGTGCAAGAGCTATAGGTTGCCAACTATGGTTTGTCCTTTTAGCGATTAATGGAGGTAAACAATGGTGAGAGAATGGTATGGTACAAGACAAGAGTACCATGGCATAATGTGGAAGTGTTCGGACGACAAGTCGTTCAAGTTGATTTCAAATTAGTCTTGTCGTTTGCACTTCTTGTCAATTTAGGTACTTATAAGTTTAGTTTTGTCTCAATTGTATCATCTGTGTAAGTCAATTGTATCATCCTTGTATCTTGTAATTTTAGTCTAAAGATTTTCAATTGCTTTGATTGTATCCTCAAATGCTTTAATTTCGATTCTGTTTTGTTAAAGCGAGGTCCCTTAATTCAATTAAATGTTTTTGGTGTATATATATATATATATTGTATTCTTGATTTTTTTTCATTTTTTTAATAATAAATTTCAAAATAAAAATGAATAATAAGAAATAAAACAAAATAAAGTAAAGAAAACTCGACATAAAAAGATAAAATTTACTGGGAAAAAAATGGATTATGACACTAGTTACCAAAAGGCTACTAAAACTTGTTAAACATGAAACTACAACATCATAATAATACCGAGTTATTACTAAGTTCTTAATAAACCACTTGCCTAATCAAGTAAAAGGTAACAAATTTTAGGAAAACTTAACAATCATAGAAGAATTACAATAAAATTGTTTATGTCCAAAATCATGAAATATGCTCCTACATCAAGCTCTCCCACTTAAGAAAACTTCCCCTTAAGTTCAATGTTATTTGGAATATAGCGAGTATGATCAACTTTTTTTTTTTTTTTTCATAATAACTTGTCTAAAATACTTTAAATCCAATCTCATCGGTGATATATTTGCAAAGTTAATAGTTATAAATATCCCTCTACTTTTTCTTATCTTAACAATAGATTGTCCAAAATACTTTAAATCTAACTTTTTATCATATCTCTCTACTATCTTTCATCATATGTTTATCTCTTTATATTTGATTTTCATCATAATCTCGCCATTCCATTAACTTTTATTTTTTGATTTTGTCTTAATCTTATTCTTTTCCTTTATTTTTTCATTTTAATCTTGTTTTTCTATTACAAAATTTGAACCAATGAATATTGAAAAAAAAATTAGAAAAAAAAACAAGTAAAGATAACAACATCTTTTATGGTCTTAAATTTGACTATCCGATAGTAAGTAAATTTTGAGTATAAAATAAAATATTTATAATTTTATTTTTTTAAATGTGAAGAGAGTTTTTGTTAAATTTTTAAAATTTAAATGATAATTATAATTTTGTAATATCTTAAATGAGTTTATTATAATTTACTTATTTTGATTTTATTTTGACTAAAAAATGATAATATAAATTTTTATTAATGTTGGATCCAACACTATCGGATCCCTTAATTTGACTAAAATTTATAACCACACACACATGATAAGGATAAGTCTTAATGTGTACATATCCGGATAGAAGTTAGATAAGAATCAATCTTTGTAAATAGAGTTAGTCCTTGTAACAATAACTTCATCTTTTAGTTATTTACTATAATTGTAACTCTATCCCTATAACTCTATTTAAATAGTTCTTTGCAATACAAATCGGTTATGTTAGCCTTGCAAGTCATTCTTGAATTCTACATGGTATCAAAGCCTACTCTAAGCCTAACGGACAACACACTCAATTTCTTTATTGCCTAAACCATGTACCTCTTTCCCTTTATTCTACTACCAAAACTTCTCCAAATTCCACACCACACCGCCACATACCTTAGCATTAAAAACAACAAAATTGTGCCAACACCTACTCTAAATTCACCAAAATCATGACAACACCTATTTCACTTCACATCATAAAATTGTACCCATCCTTTTTTCTTGAGTTTATCAACCCGTGAATCATCTCTTTTCTACTAATCTACCGCAGTTTCTATCCCCTACCAAACATGACATCTTCATCCTCTTATAAATCCATGGATCTCCCCATTAACACACCTACTCCTTCCATCACCCTAGTTACTACCCTTCCCCATGTTTAACATCAATTATCCCTCAAAATCAGCTCTACAAACTACCTTCTATGCCTTACCTAAATCGCACCTATTCTTTAAGGCTCTAGAGTTATGAATCATGTTGATAGCTCGAATCTCCACCACCTGCCCAAATTCATGGGGCTTTCAACCTCACTTATTTCGATTGGTTTGTCAAAGATCAACTAGTCCTTAGCTGGATAACCACCTCTCTCCCCGAAGAGGTCATCTCCTAAGTAGTTGGTGCCAAAGCTGCTCGTGAAGCTTGAGAAAAGCTGGCTACCACTTATGCATCCGGATCCCAATCTCATATTCACCAATAAATATTAACTTCATCAACTGAACTATAAGATGAAGATATCACCACTTACATACAACATGCCAAACACATCTCTAATCGGCTTGTTGCCCTACAACATCCCCTTTCGAAAGATGATCTTGTTGATGCCATCTTAAATGGCCTAGGATCTACCGATAGGCCATTCACTTGTAATATCAAAGTTTCCCTTCAATTAATTAGTTTTGATGACCTATTCGGTCTACTCCTTAGTAAAGAAATGCAACTAAAAAGAGAGAGTGCTCTCTTTCCATCTAAATTTTACCTACCGTTAACTATGTTCAAAGGCATTAATTCGGCTCTCGTGGAAGAGGTCGCCGAAGGGGACGTGGTCAATCCTCCAACCACTCTTCCTCCCGTTGATCACAATAACCATGGCATCCTCCCACTTCATATGCCCCTACAACACCAACTTGCTACAACTGCTCGTGGCATTTGACACCTCAACTCTACTTGTTTATCTCCAAAATACTACACCGACACTCGTCCACTTGTTCTTCTTTACTCCCATATCTCACCTCACCTCCACTCAAACTAGTCTAAAATAGGTCCTTGACAATGGAGCCGCGCACCACCTTACGATTAAACTTGATAACTTAGCCATTTATTTTCAATACTTGGGTCCTAAGAAAGTCACAATAAGCAATAGTAATACTCTTCCTATTTCTCATATTAGTTTTTCTTCTATCACTCGAAAATCACTCTCACAATCTCAATCATATTCTTCATGTTCCTATTTCTTGTCAAAATCTATTATCTATTTCTTCTTTTACTATATCTAACCATGTCTCCTTGGAATTTTTTTCCTAACTCGTTTCTTAATTAAGGATATTTATATGAAGAAAATCCTCCACAAAGGACCTATAGACAATGGTCATTACACCATGCCATTTGAATTATCGTTCTCATGTTGTCCTATTAAAGCTCACTCATGCAGTCTCATTACATGGCATGCTCGATTAAGCCATGCTTCCATACATATAGTAGTTAAAGTCTTGCGTCGATCTAGTATTTCCACTTTAGATAAAAATGCAAAATCTTTATATCATGCTTTCTGCATTAGCAAACACAAATAAACTCCCCTTCTATATTTCTACCTCTCGAGCAATCGCTCCTCTAGAAATTATACGTCACAATTTATGGGGGCCATTTCTAATTCCATCTCTAAAAGGTCATAAATATTACATTATATTTCATAATCACTATATAAAATATAGTTGGATATATTTTCTTAAATTCAAATTAGATGTTCTAAGTTGCTTTATTAAATTTTGCCATATTGTCGAAATTTTTTTCAATAAACCAATCAAAACCTTTCAAGATGATTGGAGGGGTGAATTTCAAAGCCTACAATCTTACTTAGCTCAAAATCGCATTGCACAATGTACCTCATGTCCTTATACACCACAACAAAAGGGATGTCTTGAGAGAAAACATAGACACATCATTAAAACCGTCGAGCATTGCTTCATCATGCATCCATTTCATTACACTTTTAGGACCATCTATTTTCTATTGTATAATCATCTTCCTACCTTGTTACGTAATCATAAATTTTCACATGAATTTCTCTTCCAAGAACCTCCTAATTATGATTATTTATATGTGTTTGGTTGTCTTTGCTATTCATAGCTTTGACCCTATGCTAAAAATAAATTGGAGCCTCGTTCACATCTTTGTATTTTTTTAGCAATAGTCTTTTACATAAAAGGTATACATGTTTAAATATTACATCCAATAAAATATATATCTCACACCATGTTATTTTTTATGAATAGGCTTTTCCCTTTGAAGACATCAATAGTGGTTCTTCTTTCACTCGTCAAGAGTTCAACATCATTACCTTTACCAAATTCAACTACCATTATTTCAATTCCCCCACTGTAAAAATACTTCCCCTATCCACTCCAGCTCACTACATATTACTACCCTTCTTTCCAAACAACCTACAGACTTATCCCGTCTATCCCACAACAACACAAACATGTCTAGTTCATAAATCCACCCCATCAAATAAGTAAGCCCTAACATCTAATCTCATCCAGCCAACTCAACCAAACAACACTACCCAATAGCCCATCATCCATAAATAGCCTACTCCCATTCCATCATACCGGACACCGACCATCTTGCCCGCACGACCCACTCCTCGCTCCAAGCCCACTTCCTACCATAAGCCCGGACTCGCAAAACACATTTATACCAAATATCACTCTTCAACCCTATTTTCAATAACATTGCCTTCATTAAACACTTCTTCAACAATGGAACCTGTCCCCCATCAAGATGTCACCGCCATTACCACTAACCCACCCACATATTGTCTCCCATTACTTGATGCTCTCCACGCCCACCTAGCTTTGACCAAACCATGATAGCCCTTACTCCCTCCTATCCGATGCTAACTCAAACCATGTTATTTTTTATGAATAGGCTTTTCCCTTTGAAGACATCAATAGTGGTTCTTCCTTCACTCGTCAAGAGTTCAACATCATTACCTTTACCAAATTCAACTACCATTATTTCAATTCCCCCATCGTAAAAATACTTCCCCTATCCACTCTAGCTCACTACATATTACCACTCTTCCTTCCAAACAACCTATAGCTTATCCCGTCTATCCCATAACAACGTAAACATGTCTAGTTCATAAATCCACCCCATCAAATAAGTAAGCCCTAACATCTAATCTCATCCAACCAATCTCAACCAAACAACACTACCCAATAACCCATCATCCATAAATAGCCTACTCCCATTCCATCATACCGGACACCGTACTGTCTTGCCCTCACGACCACTCCTCGCTCCAAGCCCACTTCCTACCATAAGCCCGACCCGCAAAACATATTTATACCAAATATCACTCTTCAACCCTATTTCCAATAACATTGCCTTCATTAAACACTTCTTCAACAATGGAACATGTCCCCCATTAAGATGTAACTCGCCATTACCACCGACCCACCCACATATTGTCTCCTATTACTTGATGCTCTCCACGCCCACCTAGCTCCGACCAAACCATGATAGGCCTTACTCCCTCCTATCCGATGCTAACTCAAACCAAAATAGGGCACACCGAGCCTAAAAACTTCCTTAGCTCCCTTCTCATTACTAAACCGACCTCATATATAATGGCATGCACTAATTCGGCGTAGAGGCAAGCTATGAATTAGGAAATAGATGTCTTTCTTACCAATGGCAATTAGGATCTTATTCCTCATCCTCAAGCTCTAAATGTAATTGGTTGCCAATGGGTTTACCATATCAAACGGTTATCCAATGGTGTTATAGATCATTACAAAGCTTGTTTGGTGGCTAAGGGGTTCCACTAGTGATTAGGCCTTGATTATATTGATATCTTTAGTCCAATGGTGAAGCCTAGCATAATTCGGCTCATTCTCTCCTTGGTAGTGACCTATAGGTGGAATGTGGAATAACTAAAAATCTCAAATGTCTTCCTTCATGGGCAATTAGATACTCCATTATATATGGAACAACCATCGGACTTTATGCATCCCTAGCTTCCACACTATGTTTATGCCCTAAAATAATCTCTTTATGGCCTCAAACTGGCCCCTCATATGTGGTTTGCTAGCCTTACCAACACACTTTGTTAGTTGGGTTTTATGGATTCCAAAACGGATACCTCCCTCATGATATATCACCATGGTGCGACAAAGCTTACTTGTTTGATTTATGTTGATGACTTGCTCTTAACTAGCAATAATCTAAACCTCATTAAGAAGCTAATCTTTATCAATCAAAATACATTTGTGACCTCTTGAAATGGGCTCTCATGTATGGTGCTACCATTGTGGCCACACTGGGTAGTCCTCGTCTAGCCAATCCAAATACCTTTGTGTTTGACAATCCAACACTTTTCAAAAGTATTGTTGGTGGACTATAGTATTTGACTTAACAAGACTCGAATGTATTATTTATCATCAATCATGTTGCTTATTTTATGAATGCTCCTACAGTTGAGCATCGGTGCTTTGTTAAAAAAATCCTACGTTACCTCAAGGGCACCCCAACTCTTAGATTCTTCATTACCCCATCATCCTCACTTCATATTTTAGCTTATACGGATGCCAATTGGAAAGGAGACTTGGTTGACGGAAAGAGCACCATTGGGTTCGCTATCTTTCTTGGTAGTAACCTTATCTTTTGAACATCGTGTAAACGGAAAATGATTGCTTTGTCCTCCACTAATGCCGAGTATTGGGCTCTAGCAATAACAACATAAAAAACTACTTGCTACAATCATTTTTGCGTGATATTAGTTTTCCTCTTCAAATATCACAAATCCTCTAGTGTGACAAACTTTCAGTTCGTATATTTTATGACTAATCTAGTGCTTCATACTCACTCCAAACACTTAGAGATCGACTTTCACTTTGTTCAGCTCAACATTGGTGCTTTGTTAAAAAAATCCTATGTTACCTCAAAGGCACCCCAACGCGTGGACTCTTTATTACCCTATCATCCTTATTTGATATTCCAACTTACATAGATGTTGATTGGGGAGGAGACTTGGTTGGCGTAAAGAGTACCATAGGGTTTGCTATTTTCTTGACAATAACCTTATCTCTTAAACATCATGTAAGCAAAAAACGATCGCTCGGTCCTCCACTCGATGTTGAGTATTAGGCTCTAGTAACAATGGCATCGAAACTACTTGGCTACAATCACTTTTGCGTGATATTGGGTTTCCCCTTTGAATATCGCCAATCCTCCAGGTGTGACAACCTTTCGCTACACATTTTACGACTAATGCGGTGTTCCATGCTCACTCTAAACACTTGGAGATTGACTTTCACTTTGTTCAGCTCAAGCATTGGTGCTCGTTAAAAGAATCCTACGTTACCTCAAAGGCACCCCAACTCATGGACTCTTCATTACCCTATCATCCTCACTTCATATTTTAGCTTACACGAGATGCTGATTAGGGAGTAGACTTGGTTGATAGAAAGAGCACCACAGAGTTTGCCACCTTTCTTGGAAGTAACCCTATCTTCCGAACATCGTATAAGTAGAAAATGGTTGCTCGATCCTCCATTGATGCCGAGTATCGAGCTTTAGCAACAACAACATCGAAACTACTAAGCTACAATCACTCTTGCATGAGATTGGGGTTTCCCCTTCAAAAATCGCTAATCCTCTAGTGTGACAACCTTTCGACTACATATTTAACGAGCTAATCCAATGTTCCATGCTCGCTCCAAACACTTGGAGATTGACTTTCATTTTGTTCAAGACAAAGTAAGCAAACATGAATTACTTATATGATACATTCCTATTGATGATCGGTTAGCGAGATGTAATGACCAAATTCCTACCCAAACGAAAATTCTTCCATCAAGTTGTCAAGTTGGCCATTCTTCTAGCCGCTCGGCTTAAGGAAGGATGATAAGGATAAGTCTTAACGTGTACATATTTGGATAGAAGTTAGATAAGAATCAATCTCTGTAAATAGAGTTAGTCCTTGTAACAACAACTTTAGTTTTCAGTTATTTACTCGTAATTGTAACTCTATCCCGCTAACTCTATTTAAAGAGTTCTCTATAATACAAACCTCGCTGTGTTAGCCTTCTAACTTATTCTTGAATTCTACAACACACACACACACACACATATAATTGATAAAAATATTTCAAAGTACCAAACTACCTTAAAAAAATAGCTTCAAATCTTAAAATTAAAATTAAAATTTGCTGCAAAAAAAAAAAAAAAGGAAAAAAAATAACTTTCTTTATGGACGTGGTGTTGAACATGCTAATCTTTCCAAATAAAGGCTTCCCAAATCAGGAATTTGCATCCAATTTGCACGCTCTCGTTTAAAAGACTACAAAGAGTAAGCATAGTGCTAAACGTGATTGGGATTTAATGTTAAAAAATATATATATATATATATATATGAAACAAAGATAATAATTTTATTGAAAAAATGAAATTTTGAAAAAAAAGTTGAATAAATCTAAGAATCTAATTTTTTGAAACAAATTAAAATTTGAAAGCTTTTAAGAAATAACAAAAATTCTTAAACTAGGCAATTTTGAAATTGCTGTGACATTTATTTTATTTTTTAAATATGTAATAAATTAAAATTTTAATCTTTTCTTAAGTTATAATTTCCAAAAAAATTTAAGAAATATTCTTTTATATATTTCTTAAAATTTTAAATAATTTTAAAAAATTGAAATATCCTTCTTTCTTTTCATGTCTAAAATTATTGAATGCAATTCTAATCAAACAGCCATTGATCGATAAACATGTGGTTTACATTTTTCAGTTCTAATAGAAATGACCAAAGGATGTCTTTTGCAATATAATTATTCCAAAATGAAATAATTAAACTTGACTATACTGTGTTACAAAGCAAGTACCTTGGCACAAACAAATCTTAGTCGAAATCTGTTCTTTTCCGTCGTTCATTTCTACATGTAATTGTCAACCCAAAAATAAAGATTGTACTAAATCACCCATTTCCATACTCAAATTCCTTTCATAATGTGTTTTGCACAAATTGGCATTAAAACGTGCACTTCTTTGCTTTATATCGATCTCTGTAGCTCCCGGATTAACTTTCCCATCATAATCCGCCTTTCATGATCCTTAATCTTCTCGATTAGCTTTCCCGTCATAATCCACTTCATAGGATCCTTGATTTTTTTTTAATATAATTATTTATGCCACTTGTTTATTTGTAATTTGCTTTTTCCTTTAAAACTTTTTTTTTTTTAATATCTTACGAACTCAAGAATAACCTACGTCAATGATCCAATACCAAAAAGTTTAAATGTGTCTCTGACACACTCTATCTCAATTTAAATATTTAAAATGTTAGATGAAATTTTAAAAAATAATTTTATCTTAGTTCTAACACTTATTGTAGTTCCTAACACATAAAAAAAATTAATTAAATAATAAAAAATTACATAATAAATAAATAAATTTATTTTAAATGAAGATTAAAAAAGAATTAGAATTTTTTACCTTCATCATTAAAAAAATTAGATATTAAAACAAAGTTACAGTATTTCACAATATAAAGCCCAATGTTAAATGAGCTTTGGTGTCGGTTTTGGCTTTTTATGAAGAGAGTAAAAAGAATTGTGTTTTATATCTATGTCTTATACTTTGTTCGTTGAGTGTTGTTGTTGTGTCGGTTGGTCGTTAATGAAGGTGAACGAGTATCGTAGGCCGGTGTGCTACTCGTTGGTTTCCCTCCTAGTTAGAGGATGACCTAAAGGTTTATCTACATTAGCCCAATTTTGGAGCCGATATAGAGGAGGATTTTTTAATCACTTAAAGGGTAATTTTGGTATTTCTAAATAAACCCTATCTCGCTCTTTTATTCCGAGATCAGATTAGGGAAGAGGCAGGAGAGAAAAAGAAGAGAAAATGAGTGAGAGCCGCAACTTTTGAGAAAAATAGGGAAAAGAGTTTCAGCGATAAATCAGTCAGGCTACAATTGAGTTTCGGGTTCGTTAACCATGAGATCGAGCTCAAATTTGGTGGATACGTTCAAGAGAGGCAGGTGCACATTCTGAACGATGGAGATCTAGTTTTGAGTCTTAGAGAGAGAGATATTATGCTCATAACAGTACTATTTTTTGGTGAAATCCGAACTTGGTTTCTTCTACTTTCTTTGTATATCATTTTTTGATGTGGTTTACTAAGGGTGTGTAACCTTTGATGTTTGTGGCTGATTATTCATCTAGTTTAATCTAGAGAGGACTCCTTGTACCCATTATTGTTGATAGTGGAAGTTATAGTGGACTTCGGTCCCGTGGTTTTTCCCTTCTCAAATTGAAGAGGTTTTTCACGTAAAAATTTGTGTGTGCTTTGTGTGATTGTGATTGGTTGCTTATTTTTCAGATTATTAGTTACTT